TGGTTTTGTCTTTCCAGGAGAATGGAGGCCTCCAACTAAGGAATCTGAAGACCACTACACACATTAGACATCTGAAGAAAAGGACAAATAATCCAGAGAAAATGTCCCAAAAAAAGAGTAAATTGCCTAATGATATAGAACATTTCTAACAGGATAAAATTTCATAAATCTTCCCAAATGCTTTGTTTCTGCTGTTCTCTACAGACATATAATGCAAATAGTCTTTATGTAGTCCCAGTTCAATGAAAAATAAAGCTGGTCCCAACTAAGAATCTAAGCAATAATGAAGAGACTACCTTAAATGAGATTGATGACTACCTTAAATGTCATCATAGAGCCTTCACCCAGTAGCTGATGGAAGCAGAAGCAAAGATTCACAGCTAAGCACTGAGCCAAACTCCTGGAACCCAGTTATAGAAATGGAGGAGTGATGAGCAAAGAGGTCAAGACCATGCTGGGGAAACCCACCAAAACAGCTGACCTGAGCAAGTAGGAACTCACGGACCCCAGTTGGGGAACCAGCATAGGACTGAACCAGGCCTCCTGAATGTGGGTGTCAGTTGGGGGACCTAGGAAATCTGTGGGGCCTCTGGTAATGCAACCAGTATTTATCCCTACTGCATGAGCCCTCTCTCAGCCTAGATACATGAGGAGGGCCTAGGCCCTGCCCCAAATGATGTGACAGACTTTGATGATCCCCAATGGGAGGCCTGACACTCCCTGAGGAGTAGATTAAGGGTGGGATGGGGGGCTGGTAGGGGGCATGAGAGGATGGGAGAGAAAGGGAACTGGGATTGGTACGTAAAATAAGATTGCTTTTAATTTAAATAAAAATAAAAAAAAAAAACAAAGCTGGCTTTGGAATTGGAGCATGACTCTCTCCTTCTCTAAACCCAAGCATGTTTGTTAAAAGGAAATCCATAATCTCCATCTCTGACAGAAAAGCCACTAGGTAAGGAAAAAAAGAAAAACCAAAATTGCGTGACTATTCTATTACCACTATCACATGATTCTTTAATTGTACTCCTTACAACTTTTCTTTAGGTATAAATATTATCTCAAATGTATAATATATATATATATACATATATATGTATATATATATTATATATACATATATACACTTTCTGTTGTGATATTAATGGACATATAGAGTACTGATTCTAGAAAAATGTTTCATATACCTTCCTGTACATGATTTCAGGCTTGGGTCTGAATCAGGTAAGTAGAAATTAAGTTTGTGTACCCACCAGATATACTTAACAAATTGTTGTCTTTTAATCTCTCTGAGATCTGCTGTATATGACATTTAAAATATTGAAGTTTTCTACAGTGAACCATGACCATTCCTAACAGAGACTTTTGAGGTCTTCAAAAGGATAATGGGGCTCCACAACAATTCCACCTGATTGTGGCAATGCCACTAAGCTGACAAACACCACCCAAAGATCAGCTTTGGATTACAAACTGCTCAGGACAGTTTCAAAGTGGCTAGCTGAGATGGTTCAGCTTCATACACTACTCCAGCCAGGACTTCAGATAAGCCCTACACTTTCCCATTATACAGAGATGGGCAGCAAATGATAGCTTACTCTCCCAGGACTAGACATGCCATCACCACCCACCCCCAAACAACAGGAAGCAGCCTAGAGAACATGATACCCACATTCCCAAGAGGTGGGGAGGGTAGTTTTAGTAATTCAGTGGGTTATGGATATTTGTCATCATTTAGGAGGTTGGATACAAGTTGTTATTAGTAATGACCAGGAAAAAGAGCTGAGCAAAGACTAGATTCAGGGATCTCATTATGAAAAGAAAAAGGATATAATATTGAAATGGTAGGATAAAAGGGTAGATTATTGAATCTACTTTTAAACTTAGAAAGCCACTACTAGTCTTAAATATTTTACATTGGTATGAATTTTTGTATGTTGATACAAACTTAAGATTATTTTTGTTATGCTCTTTTTTAAGGTATTATATTGATACAAATTTAAGGTTATGTGTTAAAACATATTGTACTATGTTTCTACTCTTGTTTAATGTATTATACCTATTCATCTCACTTAACAATATAATATAAATTTCTAGTACTTGAAAAGTATTATTACATAATAAAGAAATGCAGGTTAGTAGTTAGTTACAATCAAACTTGAAGTCAGGTATGTTTTCAAGGTCACACATAGATATATTTTAGATAGACAGGTGGTCTTCAAACACTTCAGAGATCTACGGAACATGGCATTTAAGATGTTTTAATAACATAAGTCTTTTTAATGACAATGAGACATGTCTGATCCTGGCAGCCCCAATCTACTTCAGAGAAGATGATGGGCATCAGAGAACTTTCATATGTAATTTGCTTTCTTTGTGGCAAGAAACTGCCTTTGCCTTGATTCCTGACATTATGCTGTCCAAATTGGACAAGCTGGACACAAAAGAAAGTGACTGCTGAACTTTATCAAGACAAGGTAGGTCAGTCCTTCAAAATTACTGCTTCACAGAAAGATCTATCAGATATTCTAGGCCTGTAGGCTACAGGTGGATGACCCACCATTACAGAAGAACCTTGGGTTACTGTCTAGGCAGTCAGCTGTTTCTGTTTGTACTTCCTGTTTACTCAGGTAATATTATATCCTCAGGTCTCTGATGGAGTTGAAGATTAGATAATTATAGTTACAGTTTTCCTTGTTACCAAATTCAGAAAAGAAACTCACAAAAGAGGTGTAAAATATATAAAGTAGAAAAACATAAAAGCTGAATTGCTTATCTAGGAAAATGTTTGCAGTCTTAAAAAATAGTTATGGGTTGATGATACAAGTTAGGATAGAAGGTGAATTAGGTACAAAACTTTGGACTCACCAAGATAGGATAGATAATGGAGAATTTTCTCCAAATATGTCAAATACAAATGGATTGGACATTGTAAATTTAATTTTTACTTTGTAATTGTTCTTATTGTATATAACTTTTTTGTGTCATAGTTAAAACCTTGCCTTTTTATTTAGATAAAAAGGGGGAAATTTTGTGTGATATTATGATTTCATTCTGATGCTTCCAAGACTACCAAGAAAATTTTCTTTGAATCAGAGGGTGGAGCTAGCTACTAGCTGACTGAAATTAACCATAGAGGTTTTGGAGGACTGAGGTCAAATAGAGGGTCTTGGCTTTTTTGGATTGAGGAACGAGAAAGAAAGTAGGTACTGGTTGCTTCTCTGCCACTTCTCTGATCATTCAGGTTCTTACCTGACAGCTGACTCCCAAGTTTCTATGATAAAGAATAATTAGATAAATGCTTCACCAGCCTGAGAAATTCACATTTTTATTTGGCTTCAGGTTATTGTATATGGACAGTCTGGAGGACTCCTTTTAGCATTTCTAGTAGGGCAGATAATAAACTTGGCGTTTTAAAAATTTCTAAAAGTATTTAAATTCTCCTGTACTTTTGAAGGACAGTTTTAGCTGGTTCTAGAAATATTTTGTTATTTCTTTCTTTCTTATGCCATTACAAGGTATCATCCTTGGTCAACAAGGCTTCTACTGGGAAGTTTGCTAAAGGTGCTGATCCTTGACATATGCAGTTTCTTTTGCCTCTTTCAGAGTGCTCTGGTTTTGTCTTCAGCAGCTCAAGTGCAAGGCCCTTGGGTGGGCCTCCTTGGGTTTATTCTACTTGGCATCAACTGAGCTTTATGTGTACTTGTCCTTCCTCAGATTTGAAATTTTGAAAATTATTTTTTTCATGTAAACTTACTTTCCCTTCTTGTCTTTATTAGCCTTCATAATGTGTATTTAGTCAACACAATGGTATCTTCAAAGCCCTCTAGATTGCATCTATTTTCATTCATTTTTCTTTCACAATATTTTCAAATGGCACATTTTTAAGTTTGCTTTAACATGCTTTCCATGTTAAAATTTTCCATTACTCTCTTTCAGTGAATTTCAGTTCATTTAACATAATCTTAGCCCCATAATTTGTTTGGTTCTTTTTCATAATTTGTGTTTCTTTGTTGACACTCACATTTTGTTCATATGTTATTTTCATCATCTTTAAACCTTTGCTCAGCTTGCTTTCTTATACCATCTAGAGCCACCAGCTTAAGGGTGGCACCACCACCCACAGTGAGCTGGGCCTTCCCATGTCAATCATGAATCAAGAAAATACCCCACAGGCCATTCTGGTGGGACTGTTTCTCAACTGATGTTCCCTCTTCTCAGATGACTCTGGCTTGCCAAGTTAACTTAAATCTAAACAGCATAGAAAGTAGTATTCATTTTTGAAAACTAAAGTTAGAGCAATGGGAGCTTAAAAAAATGGCTCAGTCAGAAAAGTGTTTGCTCATGAGAACCTGACTTCTGATCCCCAGCACCCATGTAAATGCTGGGCACCGCCACACCCATGTGAACCCCAACACTGAGGAAATGGAGACAGGCAGGTCTCTGGCACTTCCTGGTCAGTGTGGCTACCAGGTTAACTCCATGTGAAATGAGCACTGCTATCTCAAAAAACAAGGAGTGGAGTAGCTAAAGGAGACAGCTGATGTCAACTTCTGGCCTCCACACATCATGTGCACCCCACTTGGTGAGATATTTACTCTGTCCGCACCTGTTGCACTGACAACTCCCATTGGGGGAATAGATCTGAGGCAGGGACCCCAGAGAGCTCTCTTGCTGGCTGGACAGAGACAGAGAGTATCCGGAGGCATCCTTGGGACAGGAACCTGCTGGCGTTCATCTGTCTCTGTTGTAAGATATTTCTCCCTGAATAAACATCTATTCAGCCTGTTTTCCCCTGATCCTTATTATTCCATGATAAGATGGGTTGGCATACAAATTGCTCAAGTCCTTGTAAATAGTCAGCTCTTGGACCTTTTTTCTGTAACAGTGGATGCCACTACATTTTCTAGCACAGAGTGGAATAATCTGACTTGTGTTTTCAAAGGATTCTCAGGTCATTGTGCATTAAGTCTAAAGGGAGTTGGTGGTTGTTTCTGCCATCCTAGGTATATTACAGCTAACACAGACACCGAAGAGCAGAGTTTCCCAGTCACTAAGGCTTTTAACACACACATAGAAGAACTAAAGTTGGATGTCCTCCTTCAGAAGGTAGACCATCTACGGATAAATGAGTCTGACAAGATGGAGAGTTTTGAGCTACTTTGTGACCACAAGGAAAAGGTAAGAGCTGCATGATAGGAAAATGTTCCTGCAGCTTTCTTTTTTTTATTTAAGTGCTATCCTGTTCATATTGGAACTCTAATACTGTGCATAGGAACATAATGATTGATGCATTTTTTATAAAATGAGGAATTGTTTAATTAAATTTGTGTTAATTGGGTTTACCTAAGCTCACAAAAACAGGAACCAGACTTATATAGAGTTATTTTTATTTTATTAACTTTGATATGTAATGCATGTTTTATAATTTTATAACATAAAGAATATGACATTATTCCCCAGCATGTAGAATGTTTTCTCTGGAGAGAATAAAACTTGAAGTTTTCTATATTGCTATCAATATACTATCTATCAATATTTTTAAAAGTTGCTTCTATCAATAGTCATTCTGTAGTGTTTAATGTTGGACTTGAATTTAAGAGTTAATCTGTGTCACCATCACTAATGACAAAAGGGATCTAAGGGTTCATGATAGCTCAAGGAGAAATAAAATCTCTTTTTTGTCCAAGAACATTTTAAGTCTAACCTTGATCTGCAGGTTTAGCAACTCCAACACACAATGTGACTCCTAACTGATTAACACATAGTGTACAAATATACCAAAATACCAGTCTGTGCTCTGTAAAGATGGACAAGAATTATCTGTCAATACAATTTTAAACTTGTTTTAAATATCTACAATTATATTTAGGTCATTTAGATAAAACTTGTATTGTCTCTTTTGAGTATATGCACTCCAGATTACAAATACTATCTATAATGTTCAGTAAGCTACTTATTATACTGGCAGTAGACAAACTTACAAAGGATGAGAGAGAGGGTGCCCTAGTCCAGGGAGACTGTGTAGGTTCTAGCACCTGTCAGTTCCATCCACAACACGGTTGAATCTAGTTTCTATTTAATATTAATTGAGTTATGATCCAAATGTAACACTTAATTTTATTTCTTAGCCATACATATTTGGGCTTAAAATGGTAAACATCCATATGTATAAATTCAGTCATCTAAAAATACTATTTTATCTGACTAATTTTTTTAAGGTACAATGAAATCAAATATGTCAGTGTGGACAAATGACGCATTAATTTAGTATGTGATTCTATCTTTCCAGTTTAGTGAGGAAATAGAGTTTCTGTGGCGGCTTGCCCGTGCCTATGGAGACATGTATGACCTGTCTACAAATACTCAAGAAAAGAAACATTATGCTAATATCGGTAAGTAATTTGTCAAGACTGGTTGTTCTCAGGTGGCATTATTTTCCATAATAAACTATTAGTAGTTTTAATTCACACAATCATCTTAGTTAAAGACTCATTCTATTTCAATATATTCTTTACACAATCTCAGAACAAAATGGCCTTCCAGGACTAAAGTGTATGCTCCTTTAAAATAATTGAGCTAATAATATTAGAGCAGGGAACTAAAAAAACTCTGATTTCATTTTTTAAAGTTTATGATATCACAGGAAGCTAAAACACCTGTGCTAAGCAGCTGTTAACCCAAGGAGGGCTCTTTCTGCCATTTCTCTGAGGAGGCACGTCTGTTTGTGTGTGTGTGTGTGTGTGGTGTGTATTTGTGTGTGTGTATGTATGTGTGTCTGTGTGTGTCTCTCTCTGTCTCTGTCTCTGTATCTCTATCTATCTATCTATCTCCTTATTCCCTTCTTATTCCCTTCCCTTCCCAATAAACTTTCTGACAATGTTTAAAAAAAAAAAAAAAAAAAAAAAAAAAGCCCAGGAGGATTAAGGTCGCCAGCTGTGGCCATTCACAGTTCAACTCATAAACTCACAACTCATTTCCTGTGGCACACAGGTCTAGGAACATAGAAATAACCCCTCAGATGTCAGGAATTTCCAAAATTTGCCTGCATGAACAAAGTCAGCCCTGATTTGATGGGTGCATGGTAATCCATTATACTGCCACAGATACATTTTGCATATATTTGAAATTTTCCACAATAAGAACAATCACAATAAAAACCAAGGAGGATGTCAGAGCATTGCTGTAGGACATTGTGTTTAGGGCCCACTGGGTGTCAGAATGCTGTCTTGTAAAAGCCCCTGAGCTCCTGTCTCTCTGATCTTCAGAATAATTGATGTGGTGGTTGGATTTTACTCTCCTTTTGTTCCAAAGCTTTCTCTTTTGCTGGCTTTTCTGTGATAGTATGAGAAAGAAATAGTAAGTGAGAACACCTCCAAGTCTAGTCCTGGCATATTTCTTTCCATAAAGGATGTATCACCAGAATCTTCGGTGGTCCTCAGGAAGATTGTCTTGCTCTTTAATCTCTCTATCACTGGAGGAAAATGAGAAACTTCCCTCTTGTCCTGTTCATATTTATCCTTCACCTTCCCAGAGTCAGTTTTCTGTAGCAATCTAGTTGGCAGGAAATATACCTAGTAGAGTTCTAGAAAAGAGATTAGTTTCAAAGAAAAGAACATTTCAACCAGAGTCTAAAAGGATTTATATTCATATCTGCAGGGGGGACAAAGCATATTGATGTAAAAACTGACATCCATCAGCAGTAAAGTATTTCTTTTTCTAGCACTTCCTTTTCTTGGATGTTCTGTTAGCAGATGGGACTAGGAGTACAAACTATATGAGGTCTTAAAATAGACTGAGCGGGTCCTCTAACACTGTTAGGAAGGCAGTACTGTTCACATAATCATTTATAAAGAGATCAACAGAGATGGGCTATTATTGTAAGAGTTCTGGGTGTCCAGAGTGTATAGCAGGAGCTAGAGTTGATAGCTAGAGCCAGGGAAGTTTTCTTGTACAGGTTACCAGTTCCCACAGGTACAAATTTTTAGCCCGCTTTAACTGTCAATTTGACAGAGCTGAGAAGGGAGTCTCAGTTGAGGGACTTCTTAGATTGGATTGTGGGCATGTCTTGATTGATAATTTCTGTAGGAAGGCCCAGCCCACTGTGCTATACCATTCCTTAGACACATCGTCCTGAACCAAATAAGAAAGCATGGACCTGCAACCATCATTCTTCTGTGCTTTCTTGATTGTGAGTGAGTTCCTTGGTTAAAAGTAATGCTGTGTGGAATAGCAGGCAGGCCTGGGTTTACGTTCTTTCCCTGACTTCCCTCAATTGTGGTCTATGATCTGTAAGCTGAAATAGACCACTTCCTCCCTAAGTTGCTATTGGTCATGGTATTCGTCACAGCAACAGAATGAAGCTAGAACAGGAGTATGACACAATAAAATGGGAAAACAAGATGAAGGAAATCAAGAGTAAATCCAGTAGTGCTTAGGGTTGAAATGAGGTTTATCCTTAAGAAGAAAATTTACATTATCACAGCAAAAAGAGAGCACTGCTTTCATTTAATCAAATATTGAAATAAAGCAATAGGGCTCACTTTCATTTGTACATTTAAGAAATTAATTCAAATGTTACTGTCTGGGAACAGTGTTAAAAAAGTGTAGAGAGGAGGTGTGAAGAAGGACGTAAGAAGGGACACATGTGAGTATGAATGACACTGCCACACTTGAGAACTCACTGTATAGAAAGGACAGATAAGTGGCCACCATAACTCAATGTATAAGGAATATATGCTCAGTAAAGCCATGATCAAGTACACTGGGCTAAGGGCAAGGATTCAGTCCAGCTCTTGAGGAACACTGAGAGTTACTGAAGTGGTTTTCATCATCAGTTTGTGTGTGATGTCATTCAAAATTCTTTTATAAAACCCAGTATTCCGTTATGCAATACATTTTCAAAGCGTGATCTTCTGTTTACTTGTATTCCAAGAAAATTATTATTCTCATGCTTAAGGGGGCATTTCTATAATACCTAAACAATCAGTATGAATGCCTATTCTGTAAGAAAGTGTCTGTTCTTTGAGGGTGAAGAGGAGACTATATAGCCAGCCTGGATGTGGCCCAGCTTCCTCTATTATCCTCAGAGTGGTGGGTTCAACACTATTTAAACCTGTGGTGGTGCTAAAAGTTTTCATTTGACAAGATAGCTGAAGTATTGATTCATATCTAAGTTTCTGTTTTGAGACAGCCTTGCTGTACAGTGCAAGCTGGCCTCAAAGTCACAACCCTCGTGCCTCAGACTTTCAAGTGCTAGAATTGCAGGTATGCAGCAGCGACCAGACTCAGCTTAGTTTGTTTTTCACATTAAAGAACACATTTTTAGCTGGATGTGGTAGTTCATACCTGTAATCCCAGTACTTGAGAGGCTGATGCAGGAGGATTGCTGTGAGTTCATAATAGCTTGGGAGTTCCGTATCAGTCTAGACAACAGTGTGATACCCTGTCTCAAAAGAAAAAAAAAGGTAGGGGAAATAAAAAGGAGCATGTTTAGTGTTTAATGTAAAAATAACTGTCCCCTTTGATGTTTGTTCAGTGGTAATACCAGTTATTACTAAAAGGCTTTAAACTTTTTCCATCTCAGATTGATTTCTACACAAAATGTATAAACTATAACACCTTGAGCAAGTAATAATTAGAGGCTGATTTTAGGTGATCCATGTTTAAGCCACTCAGCCACTTTTGTAGAATGATCTTTTGCAGGTATTGGCTTCAAGACATGAAGAGGGATGGAAGCAGGGAAGAAAGAGGCACAGAAAAGTTCTCTTTTTGAGAGTCTCAACACAGTCAAGCATAGAGGACCTTTATGAAAAACAGTTCTCACATGACTAAAAGCTGTCCTATAATGAGTATAATAATTTAAGGGCACCACTTATTCCCTGAACCCATTCTTGTTGTGAAGGAGCAGGCCGAGCCCCCTGGGTCTTCCCCACCCCTTCACACTCTCTCTACTGTCCTTTGACATTGTCCTTACTTTTCAATCAAGTTGCTTGCTTGCTGTATACTGAAGGCTGTGGGCCCTGAAAGACAAGGACCATCTCTAATTTGATGTTTTAGTTCCAGATGTTCACACAATATAACAGCTAATGAGCACTCAGCAATTGTCATTTGAATTGATCACAGGAAAACAGTGTTTCATTTTTAAGTATTGAGTAAGAAACTTTCCTTGCCCTTGCCCTTGCCCTTGCTTAAGCCAGTGAATCTAGTGGATCTCAAATATGAGTTCTCAACAAAAATCCTTGGAAGCCAGTAAAGCATAGATGACCCCCAGAGAAAACAACTGAGCCAGGTGGAGAATGTCCTCTTCTAACACGTTACATGTGGGACAGAGGCTTCCCACCCTAAGACCCTAGTTAGGAGCCGCTGACTTAGTTGAAGGAGCTACCTCCTACCAACTCCTTAGTGACAGTAACTTCAGTCTCTTTGTCTTTCAGGGAAAACATTAGGAGAAAGAGCTATCACAAGGGCACCCATGAATGGACACTGCCATCTGTGGTAAGTGCATGGAATTCCTGCAGCCTTGACATCACAGCTCTGAAGAATATGATTGCTGCATTGAGCTGCTGGCCAGCCACATTCACCACTCAGAAAACGATAGTGATAGCACAGCAACTGTTACTATATTTATTCTCACATATTTCTCATTAGATATGTTTTAAATGTGAGTATGTCACAAGACTCTAACAAGTCTCATGCCTTTGAGGGTAAACTATAATTTAAGTCTACTAAATTAAAACATACACTAAAGTTATATCATGCGTCTAAACACAATGTGGAGCCCCAAAGAATCAGAGCACAGAGGTCATTTTCTCTAACGTAGTCATGGGAAACAAATGTCCCAGGTCAAGGAAATCCATTCTGTGCCTAAAATAGCACAAAAGCAGTGTTGGTTGGGTAGACAGAGGATGGGCACCTTTGAAAAACTTCATGGTTCTGTTCGTTTTTTTTTTTTTTTTAATTTGGGGGTCTTGATTTTGATGGGAGTGGCCCCTTTGTATCCTGAAAAAAATAGAAAATAAAACTAAAAGGATGATATTGTTTTAAATTATCTTTCCTTTTACTTGTAGCAGTTTTTATATTTTTAGATCCTTAGTTGTTGCTGCTGCCATTGGCTTTGTTTTTCTGTGTTACCCCAGATAGTAAGAATATGCAGTGAAAAACTAATTTATGGCCCTTTCTTCAATATAGGTTTCCAGAAATATGCTCCCTCTGGGGTAATTTTCTGTTTTAGGGATATCATTTAGGTAAAAATCTGTTTCAAAACAGCTTCCTCTTTCAGTATTCCTGTTACCCCTAAGGATTTGTTGACCAGAAGCAGGCCGGCTGTTTACTCGGCTGTCAGCAGGGGGCGCTCCATTCACAAGCAAAATCCAGCTGTTTTTGTATACCCTGAATTCTAACAAACACACCCCAAAATGGGAAATGAACTTTAGGAACTGGAACATGTGACTCGATACGTTGGCAGTGGCCCTTTGAATAGAAAGTGAGTGGGAAAAGGCGCTCTCACTCTTCTGTCACGCCTGGAGGAAAAGGGTACCGTGAAGTTAACTTTCGCCACAGATGTAAAAGATCACTGTAGTGTATGAGTCCTAGCTTTTATATCTCTAGTTAGATTGTCTATGTCATCTAATCTCCATAGCATAAATGTATGATTCTAAATTGGCGCGAGTGTTAAAGGAAGTCTGTTCTGTCATTTTGAGGGCAGTGTAATGGGTTTGTACTGACCAAGCTCTTTTTTTCTCTTCATCTCTTTTGAAAAATGGTATCTGGGGCCTGGTTAGCCAGATCTGGGCGCAGAAAAAAAGCACTCCTGCTTCACCCTTCATCCTGAGTTTCTCTGCTCCCAACTCCTCCTCCCATTCCCTTTCTTTCACTTCCTGTCTTACTTCCTCTTCCTCTTCTTCGTCTTCCTCTGCTCTTCCCTACGACCAATGTTGTAGTTGAATTTTTCATTGGAATCGTCACCTTCCCAATAATGACATGGAGACTTATTAATAATTATGAAGCTCGGTTGATAGCTTAGGCTTGTTTCTAACTAGCTCTTACAACTTAAATTAACCCATTTCTTTCTGCGTTGTTGGCTTCATTACCTCATCTCTGTATTGCCTATCCTGTTTGCTCTGTGTCTCCTGGCATATCTCTGCCTTTTTCCCAGCATCCTCGTTGCCCTGAAAATCCTGCCTAGCTATTGGCCATTCAGCTCTTCATTAAACCAATTAGTGACACATCTTCACAGTGTACAAAAAGATTATTCCAAACACAAGATTCCTCTGATCCCATGAAGACTCACATTAGAGATGTACATTATCTTCTATGAGGACCTTTATCAATGTAAGTTTTCAGTTTTCATACAGAAACAAAATTGACTCTTCTTCCAGGGCCCTGTAAATACCTGTGCTCTGGCTTGCTAAGCTGGAGTGTGCTAACTCACCCTCAGTAGGTTGCCCACTCTGCCTTCCCTTAATCCTCTTCACCCTCTCTTTCACTTTTTCTGTAAATTAAATACCTTGTTTGTGAAATGGGACTTAATTCCCAGATTAAGTTTTATCACCACAAAATAATGATCCAGTTATGTTTCACATGATTTTTAAATTTTAGTATCAATTTTTAACTTTAAAAATGTTAAAATCAATTCAGTTGATGAAAATTTAATAAGTTTGTCAGTTTAGCCTTAACTCTTAAAATGTATTCTATCTACTCAATAGAAAAGCCTTCATTCAGTTAAATAGTAAAATTCAAGGCAGTGATGAAAGTCTTTAACTTGGATTGTGAAATAATGGGTGAAATTTAGATAAACTGATTCCATAGCTAGTTCTCTCACAATGTTGATGAAAAGGCTTTATTCTTCTGGAGTCTTTCACAGAACATTAAGACATAATAAGACTTTTCTCATTCAGTCAACATTAATGGCAAACTGTGGTCTGAAGATTAAATCCTGCAAAATAAATATTTATTGGATAGCCAGGGTTATAAGTCAGCTTGAAAAGAGCTTCTCTTCTATGACAGTAAGATTCTGTTGTCTTTATAATATCAACCTAAAATACTCTGAATCAAGATAGTAAAGTATATTTGCAGTATGTTGGCCAAATAGGTTTGGTTGTAGATACAACTATATCTTCCATACAAGTTATGCTTTCCTGTTTGTGAGTTATAGTTACACATCTTAGTATATGTGTCATGGGAAAATCTGTTTCCATTTTCTAAATCCAGAAGCAAAATCCTGTGTGTGTGTGTGTGTATATATACATAAAATCAGAAGTCTTATGAAAGCAAAGTACTTCAGATAACCTCTAGTTACTTACAGTGTAAGTAACTTTCTTCAGAATTTCCATCAGACTAAGAGATTGAAAGATAAAATATTAAGTTGCATTTTAAAATGAACACTATAAAAATAACATACACATAGCTAAAGTTGATCAAAAGAAAGGACTGTTGACTGTGAGAAACTGAACAAGTGACCTTACAGTTTATGACACAGAAGACAAATAATATTTTTAGACTCAAAAGACAGATTTTAGGACAGATTATAAATACCCAAGTCTCTAGGGGCCTATTTGAAAGTGAAACAACACTTCTATAGCATTCATAACTCATGAAATTTCTTTGTCTTTTCTCTCACAGTAACTTGGAAAGAATGTGTAACAAGAGTGGATTAAAAACCCAAAGATTACATAAGTAGTGCTGATTTTTCAGAATATATAAGTGATATTTTTATAAAATTATAGAAAAAATAGGAGGTGCTGTATTTATGAAAAAGGACAATAAAATTCAAAAAATTTTACCATGTTAGTAAAAATTATCACTAATAATATATGAATTAAAGTATCCAAAATGCTGAAAAACACAAGGGAAAAACAGATGTTTGAATGAAGTATAAAGCTTAATTTTATTGTGACAGTCGTTTATCAATAACAATACAGTGAAAACAAATGTACTATAGTACACTGTGGCCCTGAGATTCAACACATCACCAGCCAAAAATCCCATTGACTTATTTTGGGATATCACGAATGTATTTTATATGGGAAAACAAAAGACTCAAGTCAGTGTTGGAGAAGGGGATAAAGCTGAGGAGCAACATTCCTTGAAGGCTTGGAGCACTAACCCAGGAGCAGCAGTGGCCAGGGACCTGACAGCAAAGGGTACAGATTTACAAAGGAGGTTAAGAATGCTATGGGACATCATTCTTTGAATATCCAAGTGCTGAATGCAGAGGAACAAAATTAAGTCTCATTAAAAATTTATGAATAGTCATTTTTACTGCACATTCCCAGCTCATTTCTAATAGGCTGGATTGATTGTCCCTCCTGCCTCTACTATAGTGGATCCCATTGCTGAAAGGGGCCATTTCTTGGTTGTGCATGTTGGTTAACTTCTGTCATCCTTTGTTTCCCAGAATGGTCTTCCTGTTCCAAATTAATTTTTATACTTAGAACTTTTGTTTATTCAGAGAAATGATTGAGATAGCATCCAAAACCACATTTCTGATCTCAATCATTATAACAATGCAATGCAATAACAATCACATAATCAGCAGCATTCTGAAATCCTCTAAAAACTTGCACAGACAAAAACAGGTATGAAAAACAATGTATTCTCAGCTTTTAAAGTAAATAAGCAAGTTGCTGAACACATTCAATCTGTAGTTAAATAACCATTTCTATAAATTTTGTATTCCCAGTGGAGGAAAAATCCCTAGGATACACTCTTGTACTAATACACAGGAATTGAGAGAAATGGTAATTTTTTTCAAAGCATGCTGTAAGATTATATTTAATTTTATTTTGTTTTAATCATGATAGTTGTTTTGTTTTCAATGACATTTAAGGAGGTTGGGAAAGTTTTAAAGAGGCACTAGTCTTTAAATATTGGTTTTAATCTGTTTTTAAAATGTATAAATCTGTTAACACATTGTTATCCAATTTAGTACATGGTTAGACTTTTTCTGAGAGTCCACCATCTGATGATGACATTGATGATGGCCTCTGTCACTGACTGAAGCCTCCTACTTGCCAAGCATTGTTCAAATCACATTACATGCAGTGGCTCATTTGCTCTCACCATATGTGTGTGACATAGACAACATTCCTGTGTCCAGTTATGCCTGAAGTAGCTTCTTCATATTAATATCTAATGCCTATTTATAGGGCCCTGGCATCTATATTATCACCTCTATAAAACACTGATAAGTGCTTTAGAGATATGTGTTATATGATAGTGACATTTGTTTAAAATTTTACATGGCAGACACTGTTTCCCCCCCCCAGGTATGCAGTTTTGTGTGGTTATGTATCTGAGTTTGAAGGCTTGCAAAACAAAATTAACTGTGGACATCTATTCAAGGTACTTCTTGGTGTTGAAAATGTTTTATTTTTACTAACTTGCATGAGATTATTCGGTTAAACTCTGGGGATTTATTTTAATGTTTACACAGAAAAATGAAACAGTTAATACTGTAACAAAAAGAATCAAACCACTTGGGTGGCTAAATATTGTCTAAGATGGTACAAGAATCCACATAGTAGATGAGCATTGGCTTTTTTTGGTCATAAACTCTCTGAAATCATAACATACACTTGGAAGTAGACAGCCAACAGTCTACTGACTTCAGAGGCAGAGGTGGGGGTTATAGGGTCTAATCTAAAGCTTAAAGTTACCATGATGCATGAACAAAATAAACAACTTGCCTACATAACCATGCACTATTTCCTGTTAATTTTCATGACTCAATAACTAATCTCTCTGACTCAGTAATTAAAATGGCTCTTCCCTGTGTCTCAGCTCTCAGTACTCATTCTCACAGTGCTGGGGAAATCAACCCAATGCCTCTCCAGCACTGTCCTGCTTCATGCCACCTTCTACCGATACACACTCTTCTGGAGCAATGTGCTTTCACTGGGGAAGTCTAGGACTGAAAGACATTTGACTTGGTCTTATTCTGTTTCGCGGTGGTGCTGGACTTTAGATTAAGTATGGTCTGCCTAAGGCCCCAGGGGCAGCTTTAGTTGCAGGTGTGGGAACTTCATCTTTCAATTATTGCCTCGATTTAGTTGATGAAAGGGGAAGTTGCTGAGACAACTGTGAGCTCCCTGGGCTTTGGCACTGCTCTGTCCAGCAGTATCTGAAAGTAGGAGGTGACTTTTCTGTGATTTCCCCCCCCAGGAGCATCTAGATATAGCCATCCAGCTCTTACCTGAAGAACCCTTTCTGTATTACCTCAAGGGAAGATATTGTTATACTGTAAGTTAATGCCTTTGCTTAGAAATCTTGACTACAGTGTAGGTATTAAATACATTTTCAATGGCTTACTCATTCTTGTCTGTTTCTATCTATTGCATACTAGAGAGCATTGTAAAATTAGTTTTCAATGGATGGCATGTATGTTTTTAAATTGAATATTAATTTTAAATTGTTATGTATATATTTTATCATTTATAAGCTTATATTTTATATGTTACATCTAGAGGTGTGTGTGTGTGTGTGTGTGTGTGTGTGTGTGTGTGTGTGTGTGTCTGTGTGTCTGTGTCTGTGTCTGTGTCTGTGTGTCTGGGTGCATATGCAGCCAGTGCCAGTGGTTAACATCGGATGTTTTTCTTAGTAGCTAGCCACCTTATTTTTTGAGACAAGATCTCTTTCTGAATTGAGTTCACCAGTTCTACTAGACTGGCTGGCCAATGGTCAGTGGCCTGTCTGTGTCCATGTTACCCCTTACCCCAGTGCTGGGCTTACAATCAAGTAAGTGTCTTGCCCCATGCCTTTTAATGTGCTAGCTACTTACTGATCACAGGTTCTTATGTGTGTACAGCAAGCCATCTTCCTGGCCCCCATCCTGCCTTTTTAGATGATTAACAAATCAAGAATACAAAAAGCATTTACATATTATATAGAGCTCATAATTCACATATTAAATTCCATGTTTAATAATATATTGAAATGTCTGAACTTCAGTTATACTCATCAGTCTGATAACAGCAATGTTAGGTGAAAAAAAATCACAGAAGGAAATAAATAGTGTGATATGGTTTTTACAAAACTTAGAATACTGAAATGAAGAAAATCAATGAGTAGAATTGTGTAGAAATGCACCAGGGATTGAACCCGCAGCTTTACACATGCTCTATAAGTGCTGTACCACAGAACTACATTCCTATCTCCACAAGTATTTATTTGTTTTTGCCAGAAGATAACTATGTAGAAATTTTTAAATGGATTGAAAAGATGTTTGATGCCACTTAGAAAACAAGAGCTTCAACAATGCCTTCAAGTAGCATTTCTGAAATGCATGCCCAATATTCATATTTGAGAATGTTGAACAAATAAATGACACTATGAAGTTAAATTTAATATTTTTAATTTTCTGAGGGTTCCATACATGCATATATTTTGTTCAAATCCATCCCATCTCTTTCCTCCAGTTCCTCTCCTACCCTCCCTGCCACTCTGCCCTCCCAACTTCAAATGCTTTTTATTTTTTAAACCCACTAAGTATGAGCATGGGTGTAGGGCCATCTACTGGAGCATCTACTGATAGCCTCTCAGTATCCTGAGTAGTAAATAAGTATTCTTTTCCCGCTAAACTCCCTAAATTAAGAATAGTGATTTCATATCTATCTCTAAAAACGTGGCTGATTTAGAAGGATGGTTGATAACATGAAGTAGGCAGGAGTAGAGCAGAGGCAGGTCCTGTCTCTACTACATACTGTCATTACTGTGATATATTAGTTATGAGTATGTTTATATATATATATGTATATATATATAATTTATGTATATGCTTACACATGTAACTGGAGAGAGATCATCTATTCAAAAGGTGAACAGATTCCTAAGAGTGGTGTTCCTTTGTGTGTGTAGGTCTCAAAACTCAGCTGGATTGAGAAAAAGATGGCTGCTACTCTGTTTGGGGAAATACCATCTTCAACAGTTCATGAAGCTTTGTATAACTTCCTTAAGGTGTGTTTGTCATTTTAGTGTCATGCTGCCTCCTCTGAACCAGTGTCAGCTGTCCTGTTGTCAAGGAAATATTTCTTCTCTCCTTGTGCAGAACTCTAATTGAAGCCCCAGTTTGAATTATAGCCTTGACAGTGTTGCCAAGATTCAAGTTATACTTCAAATATAAGCTATTTGGGATCTAACATTATGCTCTTCATCCCAGGAATGACACAATATATATTTTTGTTGTTGGCTGGTTGGTTGGTTGGTTAGTTTTTTGAGACAGGGTTTCTTTCTCTGTGTAACCCTGTCTGTCTTGAAACTCACCCTATAGACCAGGCAGGCCAAGAACTCAAAGATCCACCTACCTCTGTCTCCAGAGTGCTGGGATTAAAGGCATATTCCACCATACCCTGCTGGCACACTAATTTTTAAAAGAAATTCAGTAATCTAAATAAAGGTGTAGGTAGAGCAACTTTTACTACCAAATCTTAGAGCAAATTATTGAACTTGCTGCCAGCATTCCTCATGAGCCTGACATGGAACCAGTATAATCTTAAAAGATTCTGCTGTGTGACTTTTCTGGGGAGATGGGAACATATTTCACTGCAACCAGACAGGACACTGGCAACTAATTGATTCTACCCAAGCATAGCTGGGTGAGCCAGACTTCATGGGGTTACTTACAGAGCATAGGTGACTCAAAGCAGCTGCACCATTGAAAAGAACACACTAATGTGGCTGATGACTAGAGAAGCAGTCTCTGAAGAGCTCTCACCCAGATTTCAGGCTGCTCCACTGAATAATCTCCTTTTCCCAGCAACTGTTTCCCACCATGACTTGGGTCCTTAGATGCATTCTCTAATACCCTATCTCTAAAGGATTCCATGTGTTCCAGAGATTGAAACTTTGGATGAAAGAGGAGAGTTAGACACGTTAATAGTACCCACTCTGTCTAGTGCTAGGACTGGCTGTTTCAAGGATCCCATATTTCCTTTAAAAGTACTTCATGTGTTATTCATGCCATGAGACATGTGTTCCTAAGCAATCAAGCCTTACTCTATTAGAAGATGCTTACTGTGGGCTAACAGCTATGCTCTACTCTCATGACCTGGAGAGAGAATGTTGCCAAATGTTTCTGTTCTCAAAAGAAAAGATGAGAGATGATAGCACAATAAAAATAAAGGCAATGTTTATATATGAACTAATCGAGTTTCCCTAGAAGCTTACTGACCATAATGGAAGTCTCAGTCCACCCTAATAGTTATCTTTAAAGCTGTGTTTCTATGCAAAGATATTAAACCAATAAACATATTCAAACATGAAACAACCAAAATTCTTGTGGCAGTTTGCCCACTGGTGTCTGATTTATGGGAATAAGTCCTTTTCCACTATGACCAGCATTCTTGTAATAACTTTGCCCTGTTATCCTGTTGTCTGCTTTCTCTTAATTCAGACTGAAGAATTGCAACCTGGTTATTCTCTGTCCAACTACATGTATGTGGCCAAGGTAAGGAAGAGAACTTCTTAGGGGTCACTTGAGTGCATTACAGCAAATGTGAGTTGCCTTTAATATGTTTTTTTTTTTTTCATTTCTAGTGTTACCTTGATCTTGACCAATCTCAAGATGCTTGGAAATTCTGTAACTTAGCATTATTACTACCTATTGTTACCAAAGAGGTAAGTCTAGGCAGTGAGAGTTTGTGCAAGGTCCTCACCAGTACTGAGGTTCAATTATCTCATCTTTTCTAGCCTTCATTGTATTATTAAACTTTTTCTAGGTTGTATTTGCACTGTCAGGAATTCAGTTTCCTTTCTGTTGAGGGCATAGGATAAAGTGATTTACATGTATAACCACCTGTCCCTCAAAGTGTTTTTTCAGTCTGAAATAGACCCAGTTAGTGATTTTGCTATTTACTTCATTCATCGCCAAACTCACAACACCACAAGTTACAGTGCAGATGCTTCACTGTTAGTTTTCTTCCCTGCCTATGAACTTTCATAGCATCCTTCATCTTTCTTGTGGCACCTGTAACTTCTTTGAATTACAGTTATCCATGAATGTGACTTTGCCTCTTACTAGGACATTCTAAACCTATCACACATCTAGTTGCTACTCAGACTGTCAGCTATTTGGAGCCCAATTAATGTGTATAAACAGCTTTGCAGTTCAAGAATCCAAAACTACAGCATTTCTGTTACGCATGTAAGCATCTCTTAACTCTAAGGGGCTAATCATAGATCCTAAGAAACATTCCTTAAAACAGAAAATAAAAGGAATCCCTATGTTTAAGGCAGTATATAGTAATTGCTGAATGAAATGCCTAGTTCAAGTTCAGTGGCCTGGAGTATACTGAGAAAGTTCAGATGAGAAAGAAATTATAATACTTTGATTTACAGTGGCAGAAGTACTAATCCGAAGGAGAAACTGTACTTTAAGTTGCTATAATATTTTCAGAATATAATCAGATTACTCACATGAGAGTAATCTCCAGTATAAGCTACTTCATAAAGTCAATAATGCAATGTATAACATTTATGAAATGTCATGTAGTGACATATTTGTATATGCAATCTACATGGCTCTTCTGGTGGTAATCTAGGTAACTTGAAATCCTGCTGCTAGGGCTATGCCCTCTTTACACTGCTTAGAAAAGGGAGGCAGCACTATGTTAACATACTGGGAGAACCATTGTGTCAGCCTATGATGCATCCCACTCCAGATTTCCTGGAGAAAAACCTCCTTACATTAACCACATTCTCATAGATTTGCATCCTGTGCAGTCCTAAGAAATCTACAGTCTATTTATAATAGCTTTTCAAGAAATATATCAAAAATAGTTAATATCACAGTACTAAGAGTATCAAGATAAATGTGTGACATCTTATTTTACCCTTGTATTTTCCTTATAGGACAGAGATGCACATAAAGAGGTGAAAAAAATAATCTGTTCTTTGAAGAGGTAAATAAGAGACTTTATTCTTCATCAATCCCAATATGGTCCTCTAGAGTTTATCAGAATTGCATTTTTATAGTCATTTTGCCCTTAATGTAACGATTACGTGTTCTCATTTGATTTGAAAGTATAATTGTGCCTTCTGCAGTAGCTGCACCATAAAACAAACCATGTTATTTGGAAACAGTATTTAATGTTAGTATGTGATGATCCCTAAACATGTATGCTTCGTTTTTTTTTTTTCATGTCAACTATCCACAGCCTTTAGAATATTTGTGTAACAAATACTTAAGTCAATCTAATAAAAATGCATCCCAGTGAATGTTATCATTGTTTCAATAGACTTTATAAAATACAATGTCATTCATAAGGATGAAAATGTAAATTCTGGGCACAGTTGGTAGAAAAGGAGAAGCATGGCTAATCAAAGAAATGTAAATAGACTTACAATAATTACTGAATGATATCAAACTTTGAAGTTCTTTTCTTTTTTTCAGGAAATGGTCAAAATTAGCAGCATTATTGTTAGATGAAATCTGTTTATATACTGTGTGGGGGGGTGGTATTTTTGCTACAAGTCTTGGGTTAAAATATATCTAAAGCCTAAAAAGTATATTAAGTATGGTCCTGCAATGTCACATCATAAAATAACCCTAGAGAGAAAGCACTTTTCCATCAACATAATGTGAGAAGAGTTAAGCATACTGTAGTTTCACTACTGTAGAAATATTTTGATACTAAAAATAATTGTAGGCTAGACCTGGTGGTAAACTCATTAATCCTGATCATGGGCCCTAGGAGTCCTAGTTAAAAAGCAAGACCCTGTCTCAAAAATAATACACACACTAATATAAGATATGATATGATATGACATGATATGGGGAAAAGCAGGAAAATCACGAGTCCTACATGGACATGTAAGCAAGACTCTGTTTTGTGTGTGTGTGTGTGTGTGTGTGTGTGATAGAGAAATGCATAGAATATCTTGTGAATAAGTACATAGATGTGATGTCAACTTTGTAAAAATATGCCAGAAAAGTATTAGTAGGAAATAAACTAAAATAATGCTAATTTTATTTCTGTGAATCTGTGTTTTATTTGCTTATTTCCCAATTATTAGTAATAAACTACTATAATTTTTAAAAATTAAACTTAGTCATCCTCTGGTATCCTTTAACCATCCTAGAAATAAGAGTAAAACTTAAATGTCCGGTTGCTGTCCCCAGGGCACACTGGTGCATGCATGCATACACATATACAGAAAAACACATGCACACATACATACACACATGTACATACACACACCAACTCCCAACCCCTAACTTAGAGATGCCAGCTAATTAAATGAGATTATTTCTTCTCGGATAGTTGAGGAAGGCTGTTCCAGCTAGCAATAAGTAACATAGGTTAGTCACACCATAAGCTTCATGGCAAGAGTTCCACAGCTCCTTCCAAAAGAAAACAGTTTAAGAGACTTTTCTCTGAGGAGTATGAGAGTTAAAAACAGTGTACTGACAGATAAAAGAGACTCAAGACTCTGGTCATAAGGCATAACATTCATTTATTTGAACAACATTCCTATTTGGTCCTTGATGTCAATATGTCTTCAATGGCCAAGTTGATAGTCACTGGTTAAGTAATTAGAATAGTAGTTTGTGAATAAGTCCTTGATCCAACAGCAGTGTGACACTCCTACTTTAGTCTTCAGAGTATTGACAGTTTCTACCCCATGTAGGAATGTCTCCAGAGTGTTAGCCAAAGACAGTCCCCACCCCTCCCCACCATAGTCACACTTCCACTCACATCTAGTCTGACTGCTGTCCTCACCAAACCATGTGATGCAAGACCATGTGATAGGACAAACTAAAGTGTCTGCATTAAATTTCTTTGCCTTGTGAATGTTATTTTTCATACACAACCAATCTCATTACATATAGACTATTCCATCCACCTCCAGGGAATTTCACACAAGTACATCTATGTGGACACTAATTTTCTGTGGTTACTATACTTACCACTCAGAATGCCTGATTTTGGAAAAGCCAGAACCTAGTGAGCATCTGTGAGATCACCAAGGCCAGGCTAATGGGACCCCCTCCACCTTAAAGATGAAGTATACACACACTGACCTCTCATGTCCAGAGTTAGGAAGATCCAGAACTTTGAATATCTTCTGAAGATATGAATCAAAACTGTAACAATTTCTCATAAAATACTAAAGAAGTAAACACAATGTTCCCCTGATATTATAAAGCTTTGATGTTCTGTTAGCTGTGTTGTCCTGCAGGACAAATGGCCTTTGCTGTAATAGGAAAACTGAAGTCACTTCAGTTGTGCCCAAATGTCAGAGCAAAGCTTTTTACATTGTATTGTTTTTATACTTTTGAACTAGAAAGTGCATTAGTTAAAGCTGAAAGGGATCATAAATACATTTTTTTACACCAAACTTCCCATTTTAACAATAAATAGCTTACACAAAGATGTAAGAGGAAACAGTTGGGGCCAGAGAACTGTACTGGCCAAGCTGGGCCTGGGGTCCAGATCTTGGAATCTCATGTATTCTCAAATCTGCCTTGAGCCTAGGGCTGTTTACATGTTGTGATTAGAGTCCAATGTGCCTGGCACAGAATGGGCGCTCTGAGAGCAGTAACTTGCATGGTGATTAATAAATGCTCCCAAGTTATTTTTCCTGTAGTGGCTCTCAACCTTCCCAATCTTGCAACCCTTTAATACAGTTCTTCATGATGTGGTGATCCCCCAAACACAAAATTATTTCACTGCTACTTCAGAACTGTAATGTTAATGTTATGAATCATAATGTAAATATTGGATATGCAAACCCCTAAAAGTTGAGAATAGTTGTTATACACCAACCCTATGAAGAAAGGGCACTTGATTTTTATTCCTGTCTGTATCACGGAAACTGGAACACAAGATACAAACTGCCATGTCCTGGACAATGATAGGGGGGACAGTGAAGGCAGCAAACAGGGAATTGCCAGGTTCCATGATGTGGTATGAGCTACTGTGGTCTGAGCCACTGGATACTACTGTTGGTAAATGGAGAATGTTACAGGATCAGAAATGGAGATAACAAAAGACAGAAAGTAGCAAGAAGACAATAAGAAGGGGGGAAGGGGATGCAAGAGTAAGGAGAAAGTATAAAGAAATATGTTTTATATCAGCACTGTTTTCTAGTTTTATATCATAGACTTCTGACAACCTATTATGTAATCTAATATGTTAAATCTCTCTCATATGCTTACCTTAGGCCCCCTCCCCTACATAATAGGAGATGATAGTGAAGCCTAATTGAATGACATGTCCTATTTTATCTATGTGTGTAGGAAGAGCCTCATAGTAGACTGAATAGCTTATTAATTGTGATGAACAAGACTAGTTTCTCTCACAAAGATAAGAGTAGCGTTTAGAGACAAGTAAAGTTATTATCTTGATGTTCTGTGATCTTGGATCTCCCAGCATGTATTTTTCTTTAGGTTCTTGCAACCAAATCATTAAGGCTGAGTTTTTAAAACAGCCTTATTGAGAGATTATTGACCTACAACTAATTGCATATATTTATCATGTACCATTTGACAAATTTTGACATACATGTATACCCATGGAGTCTCCAGTACAATTAAGAACATTTCTACAGCTTCAAACTCTTATCCGTGCCTGTTGTAGTCTTTCCCCCCACCTCTGTCCCTGCTCCCTGCTGCAGCTACACACAGCCAACCAATCTACTTGCTGTCACTGTAGTCCTGTGATAAAGTACAGCTCAGAAGTAGAAAAATAATGAACTACTACATGTTACAAAATGGGTGAATCTCAAATGAATTATGCCTAAAGAAGTCAGACAGAATGAGATCCATAATATATGTTTACATAAGATTCTGCAGAACTTGATCTATGGCAACACCTTTTAACACAATGAAAGCTACCCAGGGAGGAAGTTTCCCCGGTCAGTTCAAGATTGATGTCTACACACCTAGCTATGATGAAAAATCAATGGCAATAGCCTCTGTTGTTTTGGAGACCTCTGGGCAGTCACTAAAGATGTCCCATGCCAGGCACTGAGATTCTTTTTAATGACTCAAATCTCTGGGGGCAACAATATCTACCCATGCGGGAGTCCTCCTTTCTCCATCTTAAATAATTATAACACACTTTTAGGCCTTTCACATCCTCTCTAAGTGTCTCATAGCACACAAGATGAATATGCTGTGTTTTTTGCCTTTATTCAATGGAAGATAGTTTTTAATTTCTGTTTTGATTTCTCCTTTGATACATGAGTTAGTTAGAAATCTGTTCAGTTTTTTTGTTTTTGTTTATTTGTTTGTCTATTTGGGGATTTTGCAAAGGTCTCTCTGTTGTTGGTTTCAATTCCATTGTGATCAGAAAACCTATTTTGTCTGTGTTGAATTATTTAATTTGTTGGTACAGATAGTCTTTATTTTGGTTAATGATCAATGTATGCTTAAAAAGAATATGTACTACTTTTTAGGAGAAAAAATATCTATACTATCCAGACTAGTCTCAAACTCTAGCTAAGTAATCCTTCTACCTCAGCCTCCTGAGTGGCTGAGCCTATAAATATATCACCATTGCTGGCAGAAAACATATTTTTTATAGATAAACCATGTCAAGTTGGATTGGTGTTGCCAAATCTCTTAATTCCTTTGGTCTCCACCCATGGCCTGGAAAGTCTCAAGGTAGTGAGCTGGGGCAACTGTAGGGTTTGTCTTGTTGCCCACCTCTCAGGAATAATTTCATTCTTCTCTTCTGTCCAGTAACTTAAAACCATTGCTGCCCATGATTCTCTGTCCATGTGGAGAGAAACACAGGGGAACTTTGGGAAGATGCACCATTACATATACACACTCATTCACTTGCTACCTCTCTAGTCCCACAAACAATTGCTTGTTATACACAGCACACTCAAAAGTGTCACATTGCATTGTTATACAAGCTTCTGTAACTTTTTTAATGTGTCTACTTTATGA